ACTTGGGGAGTTTGAGTTGCAGTAATCTTTCATGAATCCATTGCTCTGTCCAGTTGGTCATGTTTAGCGGTTTCCAAGTGCACCTCTTGAAACAAATTCGGGATTCTCTTGCTGTATTGCTCACCCTACTGCCCAACTCTTTCTATTTTTGAGCTGGCAGAGGTGGTTTCAGCTTTGATGTTGGGACTCTCCTGGGCTACTTGTTGGGATGGTTTCAATGTTTGTGCCAAGACCCTCTCATATGGGGCAGATCAAGAGTGCATGGTTTTCATGATTGCCATTGTCCTGTTGCAACTGGCGCATGATCTCACCTCTGTTGTGAAGCACACTCTTAGACTTCACAGGTGATGATTTGGGGGTGGAGGAGTTGAGAATAACTGATGGATATAATCTGACTCATAGTTTTGATTCCTACTACCTTGCCTATGTACTTGTAACTGAATTTTATTTTCAGTATATTTTGAGATATTCCTTAAATGTATTTTGTTGGAAGCCACTGTGAGTGTCACATTTGTGGCACATAAATAATGCTGTAAATAAAGTTGCAGCATAAATGTGCATTCAAATTAGAGAAGCTTAGTACTTTCTTTGTTGTTTAATTGGTTTTACTTGGTGAGTAAGAGCGATTCAGCCAAAACTGAGTGCACATAGGTTCAGCTGGTATCACTGGGAGAGAATCAATTGGCTGCTCAATATTTTTTTTTACCTTAACTGGATAATGCCACAATCTTGTAACACAGTTATCTGCTCAAGTCTACACTGCACCTAGTTTTATACTTCTTTCCAGCACGTCTGTCATTATTTCCGATGAGTAAGAAATGAATTCACACTTGTAGAAGTCCTATCAGTACCACTAGTTCACTAGCCTCTCACCTTCGAGGTTCAATTTCAAGAAGAGGTTACAATTAAAAATAACTTGGATTGCATGCAGTCCTCCATCTGTGTGCACCATGATAACGACTGTCGTGTGTGTCACAATTGTCAGTGTCTCCTTAGTGCAGTTATAGGAAAGGAATAACAGGGGTTCTTTCGCAGGTCAGAGAAAAGGTATATTACCCGAGCTTTGGAGCAAATCTTCCACTCTGATTTGTTTCAGGTCAGAGCTGTTAAGATCTTTCACATTTATGAGTTCTTACATTCACTTGCCCACTGAAAAGGAGGTGCGGCTGGGAACTCATTGACTCCAGGTGCAAGAGTGTTCCCTTTGCTTGTGTGGAACTTTCACTAGCTTTTAGTTATTATGGCTTGCAGTAGTTTCCTCTCCACTCCCCTAAAAAGCAAAACGAGGACTGAGCATGTGAGCGTTCTGGCTGACAGCAGCAGCAAGCATGGAAGCATTGCACTCTTTTTGTATCTCCCTATAGGTCTCTTAATTTAACGTGTTCATAAGAGTTGTGATTATGGAGATTATAAACATCAGGTTCCTTGAAAGTACGTACCACTTATTTTAATAGGACTTGCTCACAAGTATATAAAGGATTAAAGATGTTCCGTGCAATTCTAGACATGCTTACTTGCCCAGGCAGGCGCATTATATGACCCATGAGAGCAGCAAAATAACCAGACTGTACAATGGTGATGGAATAAAATCAGGCCAATTTTTTATTGACAGCAGCAGGAAGGGCAAGGGTTGGCATTGGGTCCCAGGACCAGTTCTTCATTCCACAAGCCCCATGTTGATGGAATGGACCCACTAGGGTTGGATTGCTCTAAACCTGTACGACGGGAGTTGGCCAGTGTTGAACCTTGCCATGGTGCAAGACAAGCAAGCAAGGTCTCACTGGGGTACCAGGATACAGATTCTAACTAGGCAGATACCGAACCCATGCTTTGGTTTGCCATGGTCAATCCTCCCCTCAGGCCCCTTATGGGGGCTCTCCATATTATGTCGATCCTGACCAATCCCGTTTACGCCCTCTTACAAACATGTTCTTCCGTCTAACAAAGGAAAGCCATAATTTCACTGAGGGAAAGGTGAAAAAAGACTCCAACCAAGTGCCAGTCAGGTTGAGAGGGGGAAAAAAACCATTTCTGGCCCTGTCAACCAATGATCCAAAATTGCTCAGTGAAGGCTCTAACCCAAAGGTGGGTGGGTGGGAAGCTCTCAAAGCAAAATGGCTGTGAGCTCCAGGGGAGGCAGCCTTATATAGGCTTTCCCCTCCCTTCTTCTGCAAGGGCTCATGGGACAGTTTTTCCCATGAGCCCATCACACAGAGAAGATACTGGGCAAAACGTTGCCCAGTATTTTGCTGCAATCTATGCACCACAGCGCCGCAGGACAAAGGCGTCCCATGTTTATTGGGCACAGAACGAGGCTTAGAAGGACTTCCAATTAAGTTCAATCCAATTTATTCCTAAGTAAATGTGGATAGGATTGCAGTTATTTTTTCCCATGGTTATGTTGAACAGCTGCAGGCAACAGCAGTATGTAACACTAGTTTAAGGGAAATGGGTTATCAGTTAATGCATCATTAACTGATTGTAATGCAGTTAATGCTCACTATAACTTGGATTCTGCCGTTTGTGAAAATATAAGCAACATATCCAACTAAATATGCAAATCACCAGCAATCCTCCAATTTGTGTTATAATTCCAATGTGGCTCTCAGAACAACATTCTTAAACCCCAATCAATTGAAAACTTGGCATTATTTAATTGACTGATGAATAGATTGGATTAAATGTTAAGGTAAACTATGCATTATGTTAGAGATCATATTCGACCAGGGTCATAGTGGAAGTGGCAGGACTCTTACCCCTTTCCCTGAATGTTGCATGAGCCCATTATCCAGGTCAACCTCCTAGAGCTGCTGTTAGAATCAGAGAACTGCAGACTTGGAAGGGACCACGAGGGTCATCTAGTCCAACCCCCTGCAATGCAGGAATCTTTTGCCCAACGTGGGGCTCAAACCCACAACCCTGAGATTAAGAGTCTCCTGCTTTATTGACTGAGCTATTTCAGAGTGGATGGTGGTGGGGATATGAGCTTAACAACTGAAGCCCACAAGTTTACTTCTTTGTGACTAATGGTAGTGTGTGTGTGTGTGTGTGTGAGAGAGAGAGAGAGAGAGAGAGAGGTTATGGTGTGTGGGACGAAGGGGTTAGGCCTCCTCCCTTGTGCTGGCCACAGTCCAAGTCTCTCATATAGATGATTTCATAAATGGGAAATTATGTTGGGGCCTCCAAAGAAGGAGCTCCAACATAACATAGCAATTTAATTTGGCCCTTAGTAGATCTTGGTTTTTTTCTGAGACAGCTAACAAGTCATAGAGTTGGGTTCAAACCCTTCTGTGAACTTAAATAGGTGTTACTCATATAGGTGTGTATATTTATGAACTGCCAGTTCTTTTAATAAGGAAAAGGAGTTTTGGGACACATAGTTTTGGTGGAAAAAGCCAGGGGAGGGGGGAGGAATGTTCAGCATTTCCCCTACATGTTGTTTCCCCATTGCAAATTGCCCTCCTGAATATGCTGTTCCCCCTGTTGCATTGCAGACATGTGCTCAAACATGAATCTTGAATCCTCCTGTGAACATTCAGCTGGGAGAAAGCTTTGGAATGGAGAACTAGTGATACTTGCTTCTGCTAAAAAAAAGCTGCAGTATCCCAAAACTGCTTGAGATATGCAGATAGGTAAAGGACCCCTGGATGGTTAAGTCCAGTCAAAGGCGACTATGTGGTTGTGGCGCTCATCTTGCTTTCAGGCCAAGGGAGCCGGCATTTGTCCACAGACAGCTTTCTGGGTCATGTGGCCAGCATGACTAAACCACTTCTGGCACAACGGAACACCATGACAGAAGCCAGAGCACACAGAAACGCTGTTTACCTTCCCGCCGCAGCAGTACCTTTTTAACTACTTGCATTGGCATGCTTTTGAACTTCTAGGTTGGCAGAAGCTGGGACAGAGCAACAGGAGCTCACCCTGTTGCAGGGATTCAAACCACCGACCTTCTGATTGGCAAGCCCAAAAGGCTCAGTGGTTTGGACCACTTATGCAAAGCCCTGAACTGACCGGTTTTTTCCTGTTGCCTCTGGACTTTGGGTGACGTATATGCTATGCATGTATATCTGCAGATGCAGTACCTGCTTGAGGTAGCTGCCTAGAGAAGATTTCCAAGGCCTTGAAACACTGCAGTCAGTCCAAGTTACTGAGACTTCAGTACTTCCAGGTCAAATGGACTAATGGTCTCAATAGAAAACCTTGCCTCAAATCATGAGATCTAGTTCACTGTTTATGATTTTCTACTCTGCTATTTACAATGCTTTAATACTCTTTTAAAAACAAAAACAAAAAAACCTTCTTCCTTTAGTTAAGGCTCTGTGCCAATTGTACAGAGCTACATTTCTTTAAAGGTCTTGTGGGTGCTAGATGGATAAGCAGATTGGCAGGTGCAGTATTATACAGAGCCCCATTAAAGTAGGTGGTTATATTATTAGTATTAGTACTTTCTGAAATTGCATGCCTTTTAAAAATAAAATGGATTATACTATTACTTGTCCTCTTTTAGCAGATGTATTTAATGTTTTAGTTATGAAATATTTGATGGGGGAAAACTCACCAGGGAGATTCTTGGCACTTGAAATTAAGTTCACTTGCAAGGTGGAGAAAGAATTTTAATAATTGCAGCAAAGGTAATTTGATACATTCCTAGCAATAAGTATGCCTGTGACACCATGCTCACTGCCACAAATCAGACTAAGGACTCTATTCATGAATGAGTCATGTCCCGCTTATCCTCCATTTTTATGTGGTGTAAATTTAATGGAAAGATCAGGTAGTGTGTCTTTTCTGTACTAGAACATAGCTCTCTTGACTTCTGTTGATAACAATAACCTTTTTATTAAAAGCGTGTCTCTGTTAAAGAAATCATTTGTACAAATTCAGTGTTGGTTGTAGTAGTAGTAGTAGTAGTAGTAATAATAGTTGTTGTTAAAAAACACTTTTATATTTATTTACAGCAAGCTCTCCTAGGTAAGAACGTTAGTTTATAAACTGGGATTTGCACATAATCTATAACCATGAAGGTGTCCTGACGTCTGCATATAAAAGCTCTTTCACTTTCCCCTGCTTTCTTCTGTTCCTTCAGAACTTAACAAGAGCTTACAAATCCTCCCAAAGGCCTATTTAGGTTATCCCCCTATATCCCACAGCTGCCAGGCAGATGCCTGTGGGAGACCAACAAGCAATAGCCCTCTCCTGCGGTTGTTTTCCAGCTACGGGTATTGAGAGACTTTCAGCCTCTGATCTTGAGGTGGCATATAGCCATCATAATTGGTAGCTGCTGATAGCTTTACCCTCCATGAATTTGTGTAATCTCTTCTAAAAGCCATCTAAGTTGGTTTCTATCACTGCATCTCCTGGTAGGAAAAGTCAACAATTTCACTATGTCTGCCCTGAATCTTCCAGCATTTAGTCTCTTTGGATGACCTTCGGGTTCTAGCATTAAGGGAGGAAGAAAAACTTAACGCTATCTACTTTCTCCACATCATGCTTCCCCCCCTCCATTCACCAAACATAACACTTCTTTTCATACAGTACTTTCTCCAGATAATTTTGGGTGCCTTTTTCTGCATTTTTTCCAGCTCTACAGTATGTGGTTGTTGTTGTTTTTTTTTGAGATGCAGGAAGCAGAACTGTCCACAGGATTACAAGTGTGATCGCACCATAGGTTTGCATGAAGACATTACAATATTGGCAGTTTCATTTTCAGTCCCTTTTCTAACTCTTCTCTAGCATGGAATTTTCTAACATTTTCATAGCTGCCTCACACAAGGCCCGTGATTTCCACCAGAACACCACAGTTTCTTTCCTGATTAGGCACTGCCAGTTCAGACACCATCCATGTATACTTTAGGATTTAAAAGTGGTGCGATGTATTAACTATTTGTAACCCACTGTGGAAATCATTATTCTGAAGATGTAGGCTCTAACGTATTTGTGAGTTTTTGGATATTTGGGATTGTGGCTGTTGTATAACAAAATTATGTGGATGCAAGGAACTAAATTGTTACGTACCCTCCAATATTTCTCCAAGGAAAATAGGGATGTCCTATTCCATGTTAATAATAATAATAACAACAACAATTTTATTATTTATAACCCACACATCTGACTGGGTTGCCCCAGCCACTCTGGGCAGTTTCCAACATGCATAAAAACATAATAAAACATCAAACATTAAAAAACTTCCCTAAACAGGGCTGCCTTCAGGTGTCTTCTAAAGGTTGTATAATTACTTATCTCCTTGGCTCTGGCGTCACATAACTCCATACCCTCCAACACTTCTCTGATGAAAATAGGGACGTCCTAAGGAAAAAACGGGACAATTCCAGAATCAAATCAGAAACTGGGATGGCTTCTGTAAATCTGGGACTGCCCCTGGAAAATAGGGACGCTTGGAGGGTCTGCTGTCCAGAGAGCCATATGTGCTCAGATGAGCACATGAGTCTTCTGTCATTCAGTACTGAATATTATGTAGGCCCTCTTCTGCATGAAAATCTTTCTCCTCAATGGAATTGAATGGAAAACCAGGGTGGACAACATAGCATCTATCACAGAAACCATTTTGTTACTCTGTCAGCATACTTTGTCACTATGGCTTCTTCAGTCACTGGAGACACTCTTTTGCTCCGGTATTATAACTTTTATTTTATTTATTTGAGGCATTTATAGGCTGCCTTTCATAATATCTATCCCAGGGTGGTTAAAGAGCAATCATTTACACACGCCGAAGAGCCAACAGGTACGCACCGAGTTCTTGTTTTTGTTTCGCTGGCTCTCTGCAACAAATCACTAAGCCCTCCTGAGCTGAGAAAGTAGTTGGCAGATGAGATGGGGGTGGTGCTGGAAATGAACAAAAAATAAAATCCCAACAGCATATGTAGATCTGGTGAGTGTGTCGTTTTGGCAAACCCTGCTTGTGAGTATTTCAAGACAGCTTGACAGACTATAGGGGATTAGTTCACGCATACCTTTGAGTCTGCATACCGAAAGCCTTTTAGTAGAGAATTTTTATTATAGCTGTAAACCCTTGGAAAAGTTGCCAATTAGCTGAAAAGCATTATCTGGCTTTGTCCATCTTCTTTTCCTTCAGTTTACAGAAATATAGTAATAAGATAATATATATGTTGTACTCTTTACTGCAAGATACCCACAGAGGTGCCTGGTACTAAATTGTGCTGAAAAGTTGCTGAATAGTTATCTGGGTGTTCACAATGCCTCTTTTATGTGCATTGATTAATTTTATATTCTTTGCTCCATAAATCAAGGTAATAAGGAACATTTCCAAATGTGCCACTGAAAGTACCTTTTGCATTACCTTTGTTCTATTTAGAACCTTGTTTGTATTATATACTGCAGAACAAGCTGATATACAGTTGTAGGTCTAGGGATGTGCAAGTCTCTCTTAGCACTCTTAACATGGTCAGATTATTACTGTGTTCTCTGATTCGACTTGATGTGTTCAAGGATCTTCTCTGATCTGAAAGGTCAGCTGCTTTTAGATGTGCACCAGCAGAATACTAATACTGTCCTTATTCAAATTACCTGGTACAGTACTTATTAAATTGATGGCCTTGTGCTCTAATTTAATACTGCCGTTGTTCAGAGACGGGTCGCAGCTGCACTCTGTGCTGAATTAGGTGGATCTGAGGCAAAGTTCAAGCAGAAACCATGGTTTTGGGCTGCATTTTCCCACTAAATTAGCAGTCAGATGCAGTGTATAATTAATTAGCACAAACCAGGGAAAGCTTGTCATTTAATAAGCCTTTTTTATTTCCACATTACACAAACAGTGGGAATTGATCCATTAAGTGCCTGGCTATTAATGCTGTTTAATGTATGTCTGGTTGCTAAATTGAGATGTCTACTTACATACATACATTCAGTTTTCAAGAGCTCCTCACAGATTGCTCAGCGATTGCTGAGATTTTAAGTCATGTTCTACAAATCAATACCGTCTTATGAACATAGTTGGCTCAGACAGAAAGATCTAAAATGTTAGGCGTTGCTTGGTTTGAAAACATTATGTCTGAAAGATGGTCCTGATATACTGTTTTTGTCTTTTTTTAAAAAAATCTGTTTACTATTATTGAATATAGTGTTCATTAATTATTAAACTTTGAGAACCATTCAAGTCATGAGAAGAGCACAGAGAATTATTGTGTTTATGTTACAGAAGAGGTGAGGCAGGTGAACAGCTTAGAAATTGCCCATAATTCTAAAACGATCCTAAAATGATTACCTCCATTGGCTGCAATCCAGAAGGGAACACGAGCACCACCTGCACATTTTCGGAGTGTTATACTCTCACCATCTGCCCTTAGAATATTCCAAAGATTCTTTTAAAGTGTCACTGCATTTCAAAAGCAGTTTGGTCGGGGTGAGGGGGCAGTCAGCATGAGAGGGATGTTCTGGTGCAGAAGTAGTTTGGCCTCTTGGCTTCTTTCCTAAGCTGATGAATGTTAATTTTAGCTTTATATTGAAACATATCCTCCAATTTCTCCCCCGACAAAAGAGGCTTCTGTTTTTCTCCCATATTCTCAGGGTGCTTTGGATTTTGATGGGTTCAGGGTTGAGCTTTCTTTAACACTGTGAGGTGAGACCCGCAGGTATAGGGTGGTATATAAATTAAATAAAATTCTGTGTTTTTCTTTCCATGAAACATTTATTGTCTACTTTGCACCCAACCATGGCTGAAAACCCTCATGGGAGGAGTTCATAGAAATCATAAAACTGGAAGGGAGCTGGAAGGGACCACAAGGGTCATAGAGCCCAACCCCCAGCAATGCAGGAATCTTTTGCCCAATGTGGGGCTTGAACCCCCAACTCTGAGATTAAGTGTCTCATGCTCTACCAACTGATGACGTGTTCCCCTGGACTTTAATTGAAGCAACATGATAAGTTAGGGGAAGCTGGTTACTATATACACCAGATTGGTGGTGGTAGCAGGGTGGGGTACAAGTACACATTACTTGTCTAGAGAGCTATATGGCAAAATTTGGAGAAGTGCAAATATTAAAGATAGCTGGTTCATGTGTTGTTTCAGGAAGTACAAATGGAGTAGGTTTGCCATCAAATGTGAACTGAGATGAATTGAATTTCTCCTCCATCGATAATAGATGGACACACTGATTTTGTTTTTAAGGAAAGTTCTTCCTTTTGCCCCCCCTTTAATTTTGCACTGATTTCTAGGTGCACAGTATACAGCCTCTCTGCAATCCCATACTTACATGAAAGGTCACCTGAGGACAGGATGCTCAGGAACCCAGGAAGGCGGTAGAAGTAGACCACTGGAGATACGACTGGCAGAATGAAAGACTCTCAGAGGTCTTGGCCATCTTGAAAGCAAGGTAAGCACAACAGAAACACTATACCACCATGAAAATTTCATCAACATTTTCTCTCTGCTTTGCTAATTTTTAATACAATTTCTTTTCTCATCAGTTGTTGGAGAATGGTTAAGAAAGCACATAATATTTTTTTTCAGACACAGCTCTCATATTTATTCATTGATGCCACAAATACTGCCATGCTACATCAGACCAGTGCTTTTTTTCTTTAAAAAAATGTTTAAGGGTACTCTCATTTTCACTCAAGAAAATCACCATTTTATAGTTCAAATCAGGAAAAATAAATACAGTAAATGGACAAAAGTGCAAAGAACATGCATTACCTCATGATGATGAAAAATTTTCCTACTCATATTGAAATACTGCCCCTCAGTGAGGCCAAATTTTCATCAGTAAAGCCCTGCACATCCACATTCCAAACTGCTTCACACATTAAATGCTTGCTTCCGTCTGAGACTCAGGAAACACCGGGAATGGAAATGAAGCCGACATCAGAGGTGGTAACAATGACACTGACCAATCACTGTGCTAGATTCCAACTCCTACTTCACACATTAAATGCTCACTTCCGTTTGACAGGAAACACCGTGACAGGAAATGAAGCTGCCATCGGGGATAGCAACAGAACTGATGATTCACCGTGCTAGAGAAGAAACTATTTTATTATTTTTTAATTAGTTTCTTCTCCCGTTAGATTCACAAAATGTTTAGGGGTATGCGTACCCCTGCATCCCTCCAGGAAAAAAGCACTGCATCAAGCTGATAATCACCTCCAGTAACCTCAGGTAAGGGGTGTTTCCTTAGGCAAAGCATGATGGTGTGTATTTGTATTTGCCATCTTTGGCTGAGACTCAGTACTTGGTAATCAGAACATTTGGTCATCATAGCTAATGACTACTAATAGGATTCATTTTATTTGGGTCTTTTTAGAGGAATGCAAAAACCTAACCCAACAGCCTGTAGCATATTAGCATTCTTATTAACCTAGGATTCAAATACCCCACTCAGCCATGAATCACACTAGGTGACTTGGGACCTTTCGCTCACTCTCAACCACTGTGGCGTTTGCCCTCCTATGTGTGTGACATCATACTGGGTTCATAGGGAAAGGGCTAACTAATTGTAAAATGACTAACCAATGGGAACCCAGGGGGCAGAGTTAACTGTGTATAAGGTTTATGCACAGAGGGGTTTTTTAGGGAGTTAAGAGTTGTTGAGAAGCCAGTCTGGAGTTAGAAGAGAGAAATAAGAAAAGTCTGTGGGTTGGGCTAGTCTGGTGGGAGAGAGTGAGAGAATTTGTTAAGATGAGTCAGTCAAACAGTTGAGATAATCAGTCAGAAGGCATTAGAAAGGTATAGGCCGGTAAAGAAACTAAATTTAAGATACTGACAGGAATATTATCTGAGAAACCATAAACTTGTTAATGTTTGTAAAATAAACTTGTTTTTTGGTTCACTTTTAACGACTGACTGGACTCAGTGTTTTACCAGAGAGTAACTGGTTGGTGGCAGCAGGGAAGTGAGCACAGTGGTGGCACAGGGATCAATAGACAGTTGTTTTTTTGTTTTTTTAAAATAATTTTTATTAAGTACAAATTAGAAAACATACATATTCACAACAAAAGAAAAAAAGAAAATACATCTAACCAAGGAAAAAGAATTAGAGAATATTTTGTCTCTTTTCATATTTACAATTATTTATACCTCTATAAAATGCTATTCACAATAAAGCAGTGAAATGAAAGATAAGATATCAGAAAAAAGAAAAAAAGAACAAAGAAAGAATAAAAAAGTAAAAGAAAAAGATCATAAGTGAAAACTTTTAAAAGTAGATAAGTACTCACAATACATAGCCGTTTCCCATCTATATTTATATTCAATTGTATAGTTTCATCTTGTCCTTATCTACCTTAAATAAATTGTTTGTTTGTTTGTTTGTTTAAAAAGACTTCCACCGTTTACCTCACGCGTTTTTATTAATCTGTTCTTCAGAACCTCTGTTCTTCATATTTTCCCTTTGGATTACCTTAATGTCTCACTTTGTATTTTTTATATTACGCACAAGATTATTCTAAACACAACCAGATTTTTGTGGTTGAGCCCTGGTTTTGTAAATAATCATTTAAGCACTCCCATTGCTTCATAACCATAGTTTTGGATTTTCTCCTTATTATATCCGTCAATTTTGCTAATTCCAGGTACTCGCAAAGTTTCCCCAACCATTCTCTTTTTGTTGGGATGCTGTCTTCTTTCAAATAGCTAGCAATCAAAATTATTGCCACTGTTGTCGCGTATAGAAATAAGTTAGTTTTATCTTTTGAGATATCTTTATCTAGAATTCCTAATAGATATGCCTCTGCCTTTTTTTGTGTGATATCCTTATCAATTTTTTTATTTCGTCATGGATCATGTCCCCAAAGGTTTTAATCTTTGGGCAGGTCCACCACATGTGGTATAATGTACCTTTTGTTCTGTTACATTTCCAATAGATCAATAGACAGTTAAACGTCCGGGGACCCTGTGTGATCGCCACAACCACCTTGAGCTCCTTGGTGGAAAAAAGATGAGATACAAATGCAATAAGTAAAGAATAGAAATAAATTCAGTATACGTCCATTTGGTGGTGCATTTCCTGCCTCGGTCACAAGGGACATTTGAAGGACTCTAAAGGCAGAAAGGACAAGGAATGCGGCAGACTTTTTGCAGAGGAATGGGATCTTGCATTGGCTCCTCTAAGGTGGGGATTTGAATGGGGACTAAAAGTCTGGATTTCATATTCCACTTCCAACTTTGCCATCATGACTACAAGTAAAGTTATGGAAAGCAAAAATAATAATAAAATTACATCTTGGGTTGTGCTGAATTGTTAATTTGTTTGAACACAAATAGTAATTGCACTCTGATGTGCAGAATGATAACTTGATTTTTGATAAATGGTGATACATTTATGCAATAGTTGTTTAAAAGTTATTTAGGCAAACTTTCTTTGAAAAATGTGTTGCAGAGTGGCACATGTTCAGAAATATCTCACAAAAGGCAAACAATTTAAAAATATTCTATAATCCTTTCACTGCTATTAAGAATTGTCAGAAGATTTAGCATCAAGTAGTCTGACTGAATTGACCTTAAAGTTGATGTGAGCAGTACTGAGGAAGATTATGAAGTGATTTTGGGGGCATGTCTTCTGTAAACACCTTTTGTTCTTCTGTCAATACAAGGTTCAAAGAGCATCTGATGCTACGATAGCAGGGAACGTCATCATTCTTAGGTTGAAGCCAAGGTTTATGGAAAGCTGTGTTGGGATGAGTGACAGGTTAAGAAGAAAGACCTTAAGTCCTTTTCCCACAACCCCTTTAGTGTAAAAGCAGAAAGGATTTTTTCTTTCTTTGACTCTTTTAGATTAGTGATGCTGCTCTGCAACTCTCGTGGCTCCTCAAAAATCACAATGAGGACTTTGGTTTAGTTTCAGGGTCCCTGATTTGGATGGTTTAGAAAGTTAAAGAAATGTGGCATGGAGAACTTGTATAAGATACTGGCACTTACATGGAACATTTGGTACCATTGTGGGTATATAAACTTGATGGCCATTGGCAAGCATCTGCAAAGTAAACTAGAGCTGGAGTACAAAAGAGTATAAAGTAGGAATTAAACATATTGTTGCAAAATAACACAGCACAGTTCTATGTATGTTTACTTGGAATTAAGTCCCACTGGGTTCAGTGAGGTTTACTTCCAGCGAAGTGTGTATAGCAAACATTGTATCCTTAAACAATTTTGGATTATTAGCTTGCAGTTCTACTAACTGCAAAAGTATCAAAGTAAATACTATCAATGTACAAGCATATGCAGAGTGATAAGTATGTGTACAGACTCATTCCCCCGCCACCACCACACACATATAAAGCTTCTTTGCTGGGCATTTTACAACTCACTAGTCGTCTTTTGTATCAGAAAATTAGAAATATGAAATCAATCCAATCAGAGCAAATCCTGAATCTTCTATTAATATTTTCTGGCCACTTTTCATCATTTTGGAGCATACTTTTAAATAATCTGTACAGTGGTACCTCAGGTTAAGTACTTAATTCGTTCCGGAGGTCCGTACTTAACCTGAAACTGTTCTTTACCTGAAGCACCACTTTAGCTAATAGGGCCTCCTGCTGCCACTGTGCCACCGGAGCACAATTTCTGTTCTCATCCTGAAGCAAAGTTCTTAACCTGAAACACTATTTCTGGGTTAGCGGAGTCTGTAACCTGAAGCGTATGTAACCTGAGGTACCACTGTATAAGATATGGCAATAGGAGCAGTAGATCAATGACTGTGCCTCATATCAGGCATTGATTGGAAATACGGCTCTATTTGTGCACATATTCAGGTTGGATTTGCACAGCCAATTCCTTTCCCACATAAGGTGACTTTTGTGGTCTTTTGTTGCAGGAAGATCTACCTAGAGCCTGGTAGAATATAAAATGTGTTGCATCTGTTCCTATGATCTCACATGAATGGTGATGATTACAAAAAAGAAAGAAAAATAGGAAAGCTTCAACTGTAGGTAAACAAAGTGATAAAGCTTGTAAGAATAAGAATAAGACCATAGTACTGAAAAGCCCTTGGTGGAGTAAAACAATTTTTCATATTTCTGTAGTAGCATTTGTATACAAATTAGAAGGTGGAGGAAGAGCAGGAAGAGGATCCTAGCAAGGGGTGTGGCCAGGACTGGGACAAGCATGGGATGGGGAAGGAAGTACTCACAGGGTGACAGAGGACAGCTAGGGGAAGGGGGTCAATGCACAGGAACCAGAGCAGCAGGACCCATCACCAGACCCAGAGGGGCCCCTGTCTCCATGAACACAGTGGGTTCTGGGGAATAGGGAGCAGAGGGAGGGACACACTAGGAGGCTGAGGCAGACAAGGGCCCACAGCCCAGCTCCCTAGCTGGCCAGGTGGAGCTTGCTAACTCTGGGAGGAGGGGTGTGATTCCTCAACTGGAGAAGGCTTGGAACAGGTGAGCTTGCTAACTCTGGGAGGAGGGGTGTGATTCCTCAACTGGAGAAGGCTTGGAACAGGTGAGGGTCACCTGCCTCATCAAGCCCAGATGCTGCAATCAGCATGCAAAACACAGAAAGGAAGCAGAGCTAAGGGGCTGTGTCAGCTCAACTGCCTATGTTGGTGGATGTTGACTTGGATGTTTCTGGACCTCTACGGGACTATGCTTTTGGTTTGCCTCTGGACTGTGTCCTGACTGCTGGACTTCAGACTTGGGTTGACCCTGGATTGTGTTTCCTGACCTTTGCACTTTGTTTGTGTGGCTTGAACTTTGGACCTGACGTACTGAATTGCTGCCAGGTAGGCCAGGGATTCAGTACCAGTGGTTGAGGTAAGAAATTTTAGGGGTCGGGATTCTGAAGGAGCTACAGTTCTTGATTTCTGTTTGCTTGGGTGCTCTCTTATCCCTTCGGCTGACAAATGAAAAAACAATGTGAGTTGATAACATAAGGTACATAGTTCTTGTATGTTCTCAGAGGATGGGTTTTGTGTGAGTGTGTGCATATATAATCATTGTTACATTGCCCATACCTTGCTTTTCTAAGTCTCAAAAGCAGCAGGACCTTAATGTACACTTGTACAGTTAGGTGCATAAAGCAAGTGCCCTTTGGTGGTAGTTATTCTGGGTCTCTCTGTGGGTTCAGTAAGGATGTCTGTCTTGTTTAGCACAATAGCATTAACGGTGTTGTTCTTCTAGGTCAATGCTACTCAACCTGTACCAGCTGGAAAGCCACTTCAAATTGAATTTTTAAGAAGATATGAGATGCACATGTGCACACTTCAGCAGTTTCCACTGGTAGTCTTTAAGTGTATAAAATCCATTGCATACCGCAGTGAAAATTTAAAAAGAAGTGGAAAGATGTGCAGGGAAGAATTGTTCCTAACATAGTTAGAAACTTTAAAGCTTACGTGAAAAGGTTAGCAAATGTTTTTAGAGAAGATCCTAAAGTGGAAGTGGGAAAGTAGAGAAGAGTGATAAGCAGAGGAAAGAAGAGTTGCTGGAAATGTACCCCAAATATTGCATTGTTGGTCTTCTTGAGGAAAATTGAAACATCTTTAGCCAAAGGTGGAAATACATGTCAGCAAAGAAGCAAAATGAAGTGGTTATGAGTGACTTGGAGGAGGAAGAGCAGCCCGTAGAGCAGGGGTGGCTAGCTAGTGGACAGGATCCACTTTGCCAATCCATAGGCAAGAGCCTTCCAGCCCTGCTGCTTTCTCTTCTGATCTGATTGGTAGATAAGGCACTCTGGCTGATCTTTTGATCTCAGGGGATAAAATCCTTCTGACTGCTCTTTAGAAGTCCTCTCTAAAGAGCAGTTGGAAGGATATTTTATCTCCCGTCTTAGCAATATGCACATCACAGTGCTGAGATCTGAGATAATCGCTCTGCCCGCCGCTTAAGAGTAAAGGGCACCGTTTTCCGTATCACCTCAGCTGGAGTGGAAATGTTGACTTTGTTTGCACAGTGCTCAAGTTGGGAGCGCCGAAAATGCTGGGGGTTTCTTTTGTGTGAGAGAGTGTATGTATGATGGCACATGTGTGAGAAAGAGCATGTTTGACTGCATGTCTGCATGTGAAAGGGATAGATACACTGCATGTCTGGT